AGTCTGTATGTGTTTTTATGTTTTGTATCCTATTTGATACAAGTTTTATGGCCCATATAGTATGACATAGAGAGTATATAGAGCTCCATTTTATTCAAGGGCCCAAACTGAGCAAAAATCCGAAAGTTGGTGCAGTTGTTGTTATTTATACGGCACAAAATTAAGATGAAAGTCTGCTTGTAATGTAAATCAAAGAGTATACCATACAAAGATATTTAAAGTGCCCCTATTATACCATTTCTAAGGTTCCTAACATTGTTTTGGGAGTCTCCTACAATAGGTTTACATTCATGCAAGGTCAAACAACGCTTTCGTTTTTTTAAAATATGCATTTAATATCACCTCAATTTCAAATGATTCTCAAAACGATTCAACCCCTCCTTTCCGTGAGCCTACTCTGCTCTGATTGGTCAGATGGCCCAGTCTGTTGTGATTGGTCTACTGCGTACAGCGTGTGTTGAAAACCATACGTCCACTGTCATAGTTCCGTATTTTGAACGCTCGATAGAAAATATAAACATCTATTATTTATCATACTTACATGTTGTGATTCAGTGGAACCAGCTGGTCCAAATAAACTGGGTACTGAACCATCTTTCAAGAGCAAGCATTTTGTGAATCCCGCACTGAAATCCCTGAGATTAGAGAAGCAGTTGTCAGTACAATGACGTGTTTGTGGGCGGGGTCAAGTTCGCGGCCGGCCAACAGAGAACATAGGCGGGCATTATGCAAATCTGTTGCCCTGTGACATGTAGCAGTCACTGATGTGGGATTCGAATTACTAACGACTCGTTTAAACTGTTCAGAGTTGATTCTTTCTTTTGGGAAACAAATAACTTTATTTATTGTGCACTTTTGGCCTTACAACTTTGCAGATCGTTTGCATTCACATACAGCTACATGCACACACTGAATGAAAGGCAATATTCGAATTGGCATAATAGGGGCACTTTAAATGCTTAGTTTAAATATCAGAATATCAAATATCAAAGCTCTGTAATTTTGATTGTGGTGGTCAAAATTAATAATCAAGCAATGCTAAGTTGCCCCAGTCCAGTAAATGTTCATCTTGAAATGTTAAAAAGTAACAATAAAAGTTATTCATACTTTATATCATTAAAGATTTCACAGCAAAAAGATGTGTACCATTACCTGAAAGGGGACATTTTTAGAAGTTTTCACACTTGACAGCCATTTACTTGCTAAAAAGTATGTACTGCACCATCAATCAGAAGTCAGAAGGCATGTTGTAGATTGTGTGCAACAGGTTTTTTAGCAGTTTTGATCATGTTAATAATTTCGAGGATTAGAAATTCATGTATTGAATATGACACAATAGGCTTTATAGGGTTAAAGCATGACTGGTGAAGCAAGTCCATCTCCACCGTCCATCTCAGTCTTGCACTGTCTTACGCTGCACTGATATGAGCGGCGAGGGCCAACAGCAGCTCTTCCGAGCTCTTTTCAAACTGATTAAATCCATTTGTATGTTTTTATTCATGCTGAGGGTTCCCAAATCTCTTTCAGATGGGACTTGACATGCTCAAAGTCCGAACTGCTTCAAGCCAGTGTTATTAGAAATGGCAGGTTTTTCCCAACCAGTCACCACAATAAAGTCACAGGCTCTCTCGCTCTAAAGGCAGATGGAATCAAAGAATGCACTGTCACACATGGGCCCACGGATAGATTTCATCTATAGGGGCAGGGGAGGTGGAAGCGGAGACAAGTGCTCTACAGCTTTAAACACCGCTCCACCCTTGATCTAGCCGATAATTACACACGCTTTCCAATTTTTCTGTCCACGCCGAAGGTGAAAATGCTGCACAAAACTGAAAGCAATAAAACCACAGCCAATTAGAAGATATTTGAAGTAGAATTTTCACTATGTGGGACGCATTGCCAGACCAATGAGATTTCACTGTGGGCCTGATTACTCTGCTCAGAGAAACCAAGCAACCAACAAAACGCCTTGTTTCTTGACATGACGCACACTATAAAAAATTGCTGTAAAAAAACGGCCATATTCTGACAGTAACATCCTGTTTTTTCATTACAACGGTACAATCCCGTAAAATAAACAATGTTTTCTGGGTAATATTTGTTATTTTCGAGAAAGTAGCCTTCTGCAGTCCTTGTAGTAACAGCGTTCAGATTCGACACTCAGAGGCTGTGTTTCAAATCACAGCCTACACCCTCATTCACTATTCCCTACATGAGTTTACTAATACAGTCCATCTGACAGAGAAAATGAACATTAATGAGTGAATTCAGACAGTGATGAACAGCTGCTGTTAACAAGCAAAATTACTGAAGAAAAGAGCGAGAAATGAAACTACAACTGACTTCAGCCACAGCCTTAGATGAAATCAACTGAAATAAGACAGCAGAACATGATCAAACAACTCCACACACAGCATTACAGTCTGACTTTATTTCTGTCATATATCTACACAAATTATTTGAGAATTAACAGAGGTTTAGATGTTTTATTGAACACGTTTTGTTTGACCTCACCATCGTGGCGATCAGTGTTTGCTTTAGTTGGGCTCTTGACCCTTCACTTTTTAATGCTAGCTTGTCTGGTTGTTGTAGCTGTGTTTGTAAAGCACATTTGTTATAGCAATAAAAGCTTAGAAATGTTATGCTTAAATGGTTCTGGGTAATTATTGATGATGGTGTAATAATCATTTTGTGGCCTGATTCACTGATCTTTAAAGCTATAGTGTGGGTTTTCACTTGTTTCATGCTATTTAAGATAGCTATAAGACACTGCAAGTTCAGATGATAGACAATTATGATGGATTTTGAAAACTTCTTATGTTCAAAGCCTTTAAAAACTATGGCATCTCTTAGACACACAGAGACATCAAGAATCAGCACATGAATCTCAACAATGGTGACAATCAAAAGCTTCATGCTGCAATGCATGCTGGGTACCAGCACAGGAAAAAACTCATCCATGACTCCCAGCATGCATTGCGGCATGAATAAATTATGCCGTTGAATTGTCCACTTATTTTCTTTAATTCTTACTAGGTGCTTTTATTTTTGTGTTGAGTTTTAGTAGCGTGTTTTGTGATGTTCAGAGTTGATCTGTTTATTAATTTTTTTGATTGTCACCGTTGTTGAGATTCATACGCTGATTCTTCATGTGTGTGTTTCATAGCATTTTAGAGCTTTTATTTTTTTTTTGAGTGATGTTTGTGATCTTTCAATTTTCAAGCGACAGCTGAAAACCCATCTCTTTCGAAGCTACTTGACTTCATCAATAAAAAATAAAAAAAAAAAAATAAAAAACTCTCTCTCTTTATTTATTCCTTCTCTTTCTAGCTTGTACTTATTTGAACAATGTCTAAGAACTTGGTATTACAACCACTTCCTGTGTCTGTTTGCCTCTTTAAGAAGAATCGCTTTATGTATCCTCCAATTGTAAGTCGCTTTGGATAAAAGCGTCTGCTAAATGACTAAATGTAAATGTAAATGTAAATGTAACTAATTGTGGAACTACCCACTTTTTGGAATTTTCGCACCGCCGGAACTGGGTGCGATTTTAGTACCGGACTGCCTTTTTCGAGAACCAACTTAGCTCCCACTCCGTAGCAGGGTCTAACCAGCACAACTGGTACTAATCGTGACGTACGTAGACATTGATTGGCCAAACGCGTATGAAAACGCCCTCACCCGCCATGATTTAAAACGCCGTGTAAACATACT